GGCATATCAACAAATGAGTAAAGCTTGATTACAACACTCAACATTTATTTTTTTTAGCTTATATTCTTACAATTAAATGTACTTAAATACAACATCATTATATAACAACAACCTTGTGTTGAAGTGATCTATATCTATTTGGTTTTAATTCATATCTAATAAAATTCTTTTAATAAATACTTAAGTACATATAATAACTGTAAAATATAATATGAAACAAATATTTTAAACATTCATTAATTTAAAACATAATATAATGTAAAGATTTACTTTTTGTATATTATATAAAATTTAATGAGATTTTAATTATAATGATTTAAAAGCATGAAAAAGTAAAATATTGTAAAAAGTTTCTTTATTACAAAGAGTCTTTATATATAGTTATTCTTTCATATGTAATAAGCGCATTAAAAATATTGATTTTTACACCGAGATGCGTAAGTACAAAGTGGATATTTTGAGATTTACTTTAAAGGTCAGTGGAATTAACTGTACATTGAAACTAACACATCCAAATCATTAGATAAAAATACAAAAAAATAATTAAAAGAGATGAATTTTTAGTTACCACGTTGATTTGTTAACACGATTAAATGGCGTATGATATAATTTAAGAAAAATTATTTTTTTTAATATTGCAAGTATTACATTAAATTAAATCTAGACAAGAATTAAATAAAGAAATTTAACGTTTACTTTAAAAAGTAAAAAATGTATTGAAAAAAAATGGTTTCTATTCAAATATATTTTTATATAATATTTTAATATATTTTATTTCAATCCACAGTACCTAAAACTTAAAATGTTCAATAGATAGGTACAACGTTTAATAATTCACAGAGGAAATTATTACATACAAATTACTTCTTAATTATTAAAAAAACCTGAATTAAAATTGTATAACTTAGACGACTTATTTAACGGGCTTGTATAATACGTGTAGGTAAATAATAATACAATAAAGCAGGTTCGAGATCGATGAGGGTAAAAATTGTATTTATAACATTGGTATAGATTAATAATTAATATTAACCTTCAATAAGGCATTTATAATCTAATATTAGGCTAATATAGGCTTTTTATAATCCATCCTTGACGCGTATACAATTCCAAGGTATCTATAATAATAATATACATGTAATAGAAGTTTTGTACATACATATATAAACGGTGGTGGTGGTTGTAAAAAAATAGTAGTACACTATAAATATGCCTCGACCATTGAGAACCCAACAATAAAACGTCTAATTTTTCAAATGTAATTTTATGGAAAGATAAAGGAAAATACGGGAAACGTGAATTGCGTTTTGAATATTTATAACATTTATCATGTAATATATCTATGTATACTACATATATTATTCTGTTTGATAAGTTTTATTTTTATTCTGTGTTATCGCTACTGGTACTCTCATTATTACCTTCCAAATGATTTTATACGATAAAAACAAGTCAGAGGAATTTATTGTTTTATTTTGTTTTGTACCCGAATATTAAAAATAATATACTTCCGTGAATTACCAAAGTCGAAGACACAACAAACGTCGGTCTCTCGAATTACCATCGGGGGGACGTTTCATAATTTATTTGTATATCGTTTGCCTGAATGTATACTGATAAAATATCATAAATATGCGCAGTCGTGTAAACGATTTAAGTTAGGCCAGCACCACTCTTGATAATAATTAACCACCCAACACAGAGTTCGATCTCTTGCTCGATATAGTATTATAATTATAATAATAATAATAATAATGAAGTAGATAATAATGATGATGATGATAATAATAATAATAATAGATGTTCATACATATACATATGTACGCATATATTATGTATATTGTATAATTTATATAGACTACTATAAAATATGAATGTACCATCGTCGTCATTAACGGCGATAATAAATTTCAAAAGCACGTGAACTTCAGTGCGCTAGTGAACATAATATATTGGAGGTAACTGAAAGTAATGGGGATCCCCAAAGCTTTTTATTTTTATATAACTTATTATTTTATTTTTGTTCTATTTGCCTTTGCGTCCTTCGACTGGTTGTTTGGAGTCGTTCTCAACTCCCATAAACATCGGATATTATAACTTCTCACATTTTTAAGTAGTTTTTTTTTTTTTTTTTTTGTAATATTGTAATGTTAAATAATAAATATAATGTATATTTTACACTTCCTATGTGTCTATACTCTATTGAATCGATTGAATATAATACATTATAATAAGTAGGCTAAAGGATTTATACTCGTTTTACGCATTATTTCGTAATATTTAATATTATAAGTGAAATATTAACATTTACGTGTTTGTCGTGACTATTTCCGACACAATCTAATGGAATCACATGCCTTAAATCCCACCTATCTACGATATTTCCCACCAAGTGAAGTTCGTTATGATAAGCATCACTAAACAACAGAAATTGGTAATTCGTGATTATATTGGAGGGAAAGAGGGCGTGTAAACGCGTATACCACGAACCAGACCCAGATCTCGTCGGAATATGGTTGTAACGCCCACTTCCCATTGCAATCATCTAGAGATGATGCATGGTCATCTGACTCATACGATATTTCGTATATTATATTTTTTAAGGGAGGTGATTTTTCTTTTTAAAATAATTATTATAATATAAAATCACTTTTACGTTAGCAGAATATGCATTGAATGGCGATCGTACCTAAAATCTTTATAAGGTCTTGTACTCTTGTATACATATTTACAAATTTGTTTTGTATTAATTAATGTTGAATCCCTTTTATAATAGTAGTTCGATAAGTGATTAAAGATTAGTGTATAATATTTTGAGAGCAGGTCAGTTTACAGCGGGCACTGCAGAACGAACGCTTGATAATTCTGACAGTTTTTAAATATGTGCCAACTGGAATGTAACTGTGTAGGCATAGGTACAACGATATAATGTCCATATACTCCAAGGACAAAACAGTTAATACTTAATACTGATCGCATTTCACGTTTGCAACAACGTGTAAACAAAGTTGCAATGTTACGGTTTAATATTTAATAGTATCGCACCAACAAAAGAAAATTAAATAAATCATTGCCAATAATGCTTAACGGTTGATCAACATAGTTCGACTAAATACTAAACAAGGGTAATTAAAATATATTTACACACTCACGATAAAATCTTTTTAATTCCTGCTGTTGAGATCACATATTTTGCACTGACTTTAATAACCGTCAAAAAATAATTATATTTCATAAACTCATGATTTAATGATTTATTGTTATATTTTGGTATATTAAAAAATATGGTTTAAAATCTTAATACTAAAATATGTAATTTTATTTACATAGTCTCAATGACAGGTTAATAATTATTACTTATGCCTACCCTTCATTTTCAAGTATAATTGAATACTAAAACGATATGTAGTAAAATAACAAAAATGTTGGTAATTTGTCAGAAAATTAACATATACTTTATATATTACCAAGGACAAGTAAATGAAACTATACCACAATATTTCTTTAATTAAGGAATCGTTTATACTTTACTTTCATGCGAGTTTATTATTGTTTCAATTGTATTAAACCCTATCATAAATATAAATGTATAAAAATTATTTTGAGCTACAGACAAAATATTATTTTATAACTTATTTTACTATAATAATTTTAGTAGAAAAGTTTATGTAAAATATTTAAACTAATTAGACTTCATGATTAATTATTGACGTATTTATCCTAATGACAAAACTTTTAGAACAATTTATTTTGTTTGTAAGTTTTTAAATAAATATTTTTATTCTTTGAAAACTAAATAATTTTACATAATTTACTGTAATGAGTATTTAATGTGTTTATTTTTCACATTAAACTCTTAAATCAACTTAATATAACTAAATTGTACGGATTACTATTATCTGCATTATTTTAATAATTTAAAGGCGTAGAATTTCAATTAGTAATAAATAATAATCAATACTAATAATTGTATAAATATTAAAATATTTGCCATAAAATGTATAAAATTAATGAATAAATATAATTATATCTTTTTTTGCGTGTCAAAAATCAATCTATAGCTATAAAACAAAACATTATTTTTTTTTTTTATTTTTTTTTTTAATTTAATACATCAGATGCGATTTCATTTTTGACTTACTTGATATTTAAGTGTATTTATACTTCATAGGTTTATCGTTTAAATATTTTCTAATGTTTTTTTCGCTGTTTTGTTTATTATTTATTTATTTTTATTTTTATTTTTATTCATTTGGTAATCAGCTGACAGTAATTGGTATTTTTATGTGAATTGTGGTGAGGGAAGAGTTACAGTAAAAATAAACACAAATAATAAATGTAAAAAGCCTTTTTTGTCCCTAGTTTAAAAAAATACCGTTCGTTATATTTTTATTGAAGTGCAAATCAATAGAACCGCTTCCACTGTCCTTCACTTCCTAACCACAATAATGGGCATTGCAAAAATGGGTCAGAGCACAAATGAAGATTTCCCAGCTCTCACTTGAATGGCTTAAATCGATGGACCGCGGGTGTTGTATTTTTTTTCTAGGTACTTAACTAATATATGAAAGTTTTGTTTGTACCTACATTTTTAAAATACATATTTTGACTACTTGTCATTATGGTCTTGAAAATTTTTAACTACACTCGAATAACTATTCTATAGTTCTGTAATTGTGTGAAATAGTTCAATATATTTTTTATTTCTAATAATGTTTAGCATTATGTGAATAGTTGTGGCATCATATAAAAAATTTTCATTAAGTATTTTTACATAATATTAATATATTATTATTATTATTATTATTATTATTATTCAAATATTAATATACATAATATTATGATTATTAAAAGTTGTATTAAAGTTTTTTTATATTCTAAATAAATTTCGTAATTTATTGACATAGGTAATATAATTTCACAAATTGTTTACAAATTAATTTTTCTTCACTTTTTTAATACTTGTTTCATAAAAATAATAACAATAATTTTATTTACAGGTGATGTTAAAGATGAAACGTACTCGTCCGAAAATAACAGAAACTCTGGATATGAAACGAATTTATACCTTTATTCTGTAAGTATTATTGAGAGAAAGTAAATCTGAAATATATTTTAAAATATACTTTTTATTTTTACAATTAAATAATATATTTATAATATATATTTGTAATTTATCAGTATTTAATCTGATAATATAACTTTTGGAAAACTTCTAAAAGAAATTAATTGGTTTTAAAAAAAATATTGTTTAAAACTGGGCTATAATGATAAATTATATAAGTCTCAATCAATATAAAAATCTACAATAAAAAAAATGGATTAAATAAGTGTAACTTTTTTGTGTGGAAATTGATCAAATTATAAAAACTTTTTAAAAATGAACTTAAGAATTACCGAAATAAAATAATATTGATTTAAATACCTGTAAGTCTTTATAGGCACTATATCTTATTTTATTTAATGTTTATTTATGTCGTTGATAAACTATATTATTTTAAATATGAATGAAGCCTTCTATTTCTTAGTACATGTAATATGTTAAAAATTACTAAATACATAAATTTGTAATCGACAAACAAATAATACTCATATTTACATTGTACCTACATGAAATATATGAAATCTCATATATTTTGTGTACATAAAAATTAAAAAGTATAAAATATATGAATACATGATATCGAAAGTAAGATAATATAAATCAAATAAGTACAAAGACATCAAAAGTATTTTATTTTTACACATTAAAATTGTACGTTTTGTTTTAAAATATATCTTTTTAAGTTATATAGATTATTATTTATCTACTACTTTAAACACATAATGTTTATTTCATTTAACATATCTCAAATAATGAATGTACCAACAACAATAGTTAGTAATATTGTTATTTTATTTCATTAGATGGAAAAAGTTGTTTCTTATGCCAAAAACCGTAATAACCCATCACTTAACAGTCATATTTCAAGACTTGGACGGGCTTACTCCTTTTTTTATTGTCTTTTTATTTTTTATTTTATATTTTTAAATTTTATTTTTAAAATTTATATGACACCTCGAATATTATAACTAAATTACAATTTGAAACTTTTTATTAAATCTTAGTGAATATTTTGTACCAATCCATTTAGGATCAACCCTTAATATAGACATAAATTCTCATAGATATTGAAATGTTTTATACCCTTAATCATATTATAATTTTTTTTTTATTACAAAACTAAGTAATACAGTAAATTTATATTATACTTAGATAAGTGTAATACAATAATACTGTATTAAAAAAAAAGTTAGGTTAGAATTTTTATACAACTAAATTATAAACTAATCTATTTAGTTTTTTAAGTAGCATTCTGCATTACACTAAATTTAAACATTCTTATTTATATTTAAAATGTAATTGTTATATTTAGCTACTTATTTTATGAGTTATAAGTTTATATTTACTTTAACTATATTATAGTACCATAGATAACAAATATTATTTACATATCAACAGAATTAAAAAACTTTAAATGTCCATATTCATTCATTTTTTTTGTAAAATTACTTGTAACTTATTTACGCTTGAACATAATATTAAGGTAGTACCTACTTTTCATGTAATTCTGGTTACACCAAATTTGATGAATCCCATATTTCATGATTGCTGAGTATTAAAAATAATATGAAGTTCTGTAAAGCATCTCAACTCTCGATTTAACGAACATAAATAAAAATCTTTAAATTGATTTCCTATGAATATTAGCAACTAAACTAAATCGTATGATCTTGAAAACTCGTTCATAATTCCTCGTATTAAAAAAAAAAAAAAAACTGAACACAATTAAAATTTTTTAAAAACCATAAATATAATATACAACATATTGTACTTAATAAAATACTGATTTATGAGTATCGTGTATATAGAAGCCATCACACCTGCATTTATAAACTACTATTTAAAAGTGAGTTACATGAAAAGTTAACGTTCAATAGTTCACATTTTGTTTCTCCAGTTTAAATGATAAATTAAATTAAGAAGTATATTTACTTAATGGTAATAAAATTTTCTATGTTTGTACCTCGGTATTTCACTTTAATTCAATTTTTAAGCAAATAATAAATTTTTAAGATATTGCAATTTAAAAATGTTTTTAACTCATTTAAAAATTAAAATTGTTATCGTAAAACCCATCTTATAAACATAGACGAATTTTTTTCTTCAAGTTTTATAATAGGTCGATTCACATTAACATTAAGACTATAAATTCTAAATGTAAACTGCTGAATGTAAATTTGCTATGTTATGCACCTACATACAAGAACATATTATATGGCGTCATCTTAATAATTTTTTGGAACTATTGAAATTAAATAAAAATCATTATGATAAGTTAAGAAATTAGTACATAATAGTATACAAAATTTTTTTTTTAAAAATGTCATCTGATGCAGTCAGGCCAATAGTCTAATTTCGACAATCGGCCAGACTGCGTCAGTATAAAAATACTAATTATAACTTTACGAGATTTTATCATTGTGTTCCGGACTGATTGCAGGATGAAATGGATGACCGGCCGCGGGTGCCCACTTTCCTCAACTCGATCGCCGATTACTCGAACACCATCCCGAATTTGGCGGATTCCGACACCAAATCAACCACTGCCAAACAGGGATCGTCCAGGATGGGTACGCTAGTCGGCGTCTACCTGCCGTGCGTACAGAACATTTTCGGTGTCATTTTGTTCATTCGGCTATCGTGGGTTGTCGGTACGGCAGGCGTCATCTACGGATTCGGAATCGTGTTCACCTGTTGTTGCGTGGTAAGCTTGATACATCACGTATAAAAAATAAATATGAAGTACAATCACGCCAATAATAATAACAACATAACAATAGAATTATAGCTCACATAACTGATCTTCAGTGAACTTCACGGTTCTTTCGTTAATTGTACTAGAACCATTTCCCTCTCTTTTATTCATCACTTTATCTCCCTCTAAATATATGGCCAACTACCCTCACGTTTTTGCCCAACATAACTGAACAACAATAAAACTTTATAGTTCTTTTCTTAATATTATATGACCACTTATCTCATCACTGATTTATTTATATTGTGCAGATGTGTGTATTATGTACCTATATCTGATATACCCGATTTTAAATTTAAAAAAAAAAAACAGTAGTTCCTCGTTATAATATTCCACTGGACGATCACCTATTATAATATTACACCTAATTAATAAATATTTTATACAAAGGGATAACCAGTAGTCAGATAATTGCAAAAAATTAAAAATTTAAAACCCTCTTATCAAAAAATATTGACATTTTTATCGAATGGAATAAATTCAAATGTTTCATCACAAAAACTTTAGTAATTCGTTGTAATTTTAAAACTTTTGTAATCATATATGACAATATAATTAATTTTAATTTTAACAACATTTTTTGTTTGTACAATTATTAATATTATATACTAATGTTTATCTCACGTAAAGTTACATTATTTAAGAAATCAATTTTAATGAACTAGGGTAAAACAAAAATATTTTAAAATGATTCATCCTTTGCATCATTTTATTCATTTTTTTTTATTTTCATTTACCGGTATTCACCCATTTGACTGCAATTAATTTTAGTTTTCAAGCGAATGGTTTGTTAAATGTTACAATATTATAACCAAACAAAACAACTAGTATACTGCTTATTCAAACATGCAAGCTGGTCAGAACACTGTTTTGTATTGTTAACGATCAATTAACGAGCTTTTTTGTAACCGTTAAAATCCCCCACCACGTCACTCATTCTCCGAAAAGTATACTTACCGCCAACGCATGCTCGTTAAACATATATATTAAACCCTTGTAAGAGGAACGTTATAGCCATTTTGGTTGAAATTTTATTTCTACTCATGTGCATTATTATCGCTAAAAAATCGTATAAAGGTCGTTCATAAACAACTGGGCGGTGGATTCTTTAAACTTATTTATTATAATGTACGCAGTAGGTGTACAGAATTCGAATTAAGTTCACACAAGCGTGATGTCTCTATGTGCGTCACACATACTGTTATAAACTCTATACACCTCAGAATCCCGTATTTTAATCAAAAGTTATTCTTTATGAATAATTACAGGTTTGAACATCGTTAAGGCAACACGACGTCTTTCGAATATTTCAAATATTAATTTATCCTCTGACGCATATTTTCCATACATTGTACATTATGATACGCCGCTGCTATTAATTACTTATGAGTTTCTACTTCTAGTTTTTCATCGCTTTTATATGATATGCAAGATAAATTGCTTTATACTTACATAAATTCCTTTGAGAAAATGAATCGCTTTGAGGCGAAAGCCTATACAGATGACCAAATACATGCAACCATATACAGACCACTGCGTATTATATAATTATCGAAACAATCTTATTTTCGGAAATCGTGTTGGTAAAACATGTACACTCATATTGCACATGAGACACAAAATAGATCCTTTTAGATATCAAATACAGTCTTATAACCAGTTGTGCAACCAGTTTTACTATTATTTTCTTCTCCAAAATGTTTTGTTAATTTTCGAAATATATTAAAGAACACAATTTTAATATCGCATATGAAAAATGAGAATTTTACAGTTATATATATTTATAATAAAAATAGTAAAATTATTCTTTATTTTTTTCAACAAATTCGAAAAACAAAAATGTGTCCTTCTTAGATCAAAAATTAAAAAGAACAACTTCGTGAAGGGATTGGAGATATTTGAAACAACTTTGAAATCATTCAAATGCTTTATCAGAAAAGTAAAAAATGAAGTATAATATTTACTATCCATTGACCAAAAATAAGTAAAAAAAGTCGACGAATTCTCAAAGTAGTATTTTATTTGTAACAATTTTACCAAAAAAAATTATTAATAATGATTATTCATACCGTTCATATCACTCTATAATACATTTATAGTTTAATTATCTTAATGCAACCTACTATATACTGTACACTATACTGTGTGTACGCATATATGTACGTATGTATGTTTGTAATACTATTAATATATGTATATATAATATATATATATATATATGAATTTTCCAAGCCATTCGCCTACAGAAATATACATCATAATACTCGTATATTATTATTGTCTTCTGTATACATGAGCATCACATTATTTTTATGGTCGTCCAATTACTTAAATGTAAATAACGAAACCATGATTTTAATAATTATTTTCTTCTCTTTCGCAGAAATTGAACTCCGATGTCACCTCGACCAACTTGTAACACACTACGCGATGCGAAAACTTTCTCCCTTCCCACCTAATCAATCATTTTAAATAAAATTTATCTTCAGGCCAATTTAATAAACGTATTTATATTTTATTTTTCAGACAATGTTAACTGCTATCTCTATGAGTGCCATAGCCACAAACGGTGTTGTGCCTGCTGGCGGACCGTACTTCTTAATATCCAGATCGCTGGGTCCCGAGTGCGGGGGAGCTGTCGGTATGCTCTTCTATACCGGTATCACATTGGCCGCGTCCATGTACATCATCGGGGCAGTTGAAATCATACTGGTGAGTATCTTGTCAATCGATCAAAGGGGTTAAAATATGGGAAAAATTCTTTGGGGAAGACTATGTGTACATGCATTAATGCATTATAATAAATGGAGTTAAGACTTAAAAATATTTTTAATATCCACTTGCTTATGAACAAATTGACTAATTGTTTTATTAGACAAAATAGTTGGTAATATTACTACTTAAAAAATATTAAATTATATTATATATATATATATATTATTCTTGAATAAAATTTACCATTTAATCTTAGTATAATAACAAATTATACAAGAATATTTTTTACTTTTAATTTATAAGATATAATAACGTATTTATTTTTAAAATATAACCTTGTGTTGAAAAAATAATAATAAATATTAACAAAATTTTTAAAACAGCTTATTACCAATTAAAATAACTAAACTTAACAATATTTTAACTAATAGCTCACAAAAGGGGAAACAAAGTGTAGGCACTAAATAGGAACTAGGAGGTATACTTAGTTCTCTTAATGGAGTCTGCTCTAACCACTCATCGAAAGTTAATCATATAGTTAACTGTATCTAATAAGTAATACAGTATTATATAATACATGATAAAACTAAGCAAACTATTCTAATACAGTAGTACGATACGATGTCTATAACTTCCATTTATATTACAATTCTAAATCTACGCTGGCGCGTCACATAACAAAAATGGCGAAACAATAACACTTTTTCGAAAACATAAAATGTATCAATAATAATAATAATGTATGTTATGAGTCACACACGTGCGAAACTTACAACAGCTTCTATTTTAAATGTCGAACTTTATTATGTTTCAACAGACGTACATGGCACCAACCTTATCGATTTTCGGCGACTTCACCAAAGACAGCAGTATAATGTACAACAATTTCCGCGTATACGGGACAATATTGCTGATGGTCATGAGCTCGATCGTATACGTCGGCGTGAAGTTTGTCAACAAATTTGCGTCCGTGGCATTGGCTTGCGTGCTGTTGTCCATATTATCTGTATACGTGGGCATTTTTTATAACTTCCATGGCAGCGATAAACTTTAGTAAGCACCTAAGTACATTGCACCGGTCGCCCTGTGCCCGACTCGTAGTATTTTTGTCATCTCAATATTACTAATAAATAATTATTATAATCGTCATATTTTAATGTTGTACGCACGCGCGTGTTACTTTTCAGTATGTGCTCGCTGGGTAATCGGCTGCTGAAAGACATGGATTTGAGAAACTGCAATAAAGCAGTGGGTGGTTACTTGTACAACATGTACTGTGCCAATGGAACCGGACCGTGCGATAGCTACTTCGAAATGCATAATACATCGATTGTAAAAGGCATTCGGGGCATTAGCAGTGGTGTTTTCTTTGGTTGGTGTCTTATATAAGAAAATTAGTAATAACTAATATTAGTCATACAATGTTTGTCGAAAAATATTATATACCCAAGTTATTATGGTTAGAATCCCAACTAATCATATATATCACTAAGTAAATATTAAAATATTTCGATTACAAAGGTCGTAGACATTTTTTGCATTTAATTAAATCAAATTAAATTCAATTATTTCAATTACTATTTACATTTACAATAAAACTATTAAATCAACGCTAAAAACATTACATCTTTTATTTATAATATTAATATTTTCATACTGTGCTTTAGAATTATGCACTTATTCAAAACAATTTATAAAAAAACATATATTTAATATAATTATTAACACATTATGTTGTTAGTTAAAATTTTTCGATTTTTAAAAATAATACCAACATTATTTGTTTAAACTATAAACTGAACTTTATATGTCACAGAAAATATCCTTGGTAACTTTTTGGAAAGTGGACAATACATAGCCAGAGGTCATAGTCTTGACGATATTCAGCCATTGAGTAAAAATACGTATAATATGGTAATAGTAGATATTACTACAACATTCACTATACTTATTGGCATATTCTTTCCATCCGTAACTGGTCAGTATTATTTTATAATAATTGTTGTTATTATTATTATTATTATTAACGTAGTTTATTTATTATTTTAACCTAGGAATCATGGCTGGTTCTAACAGATCTGGAGATCTAGCAGATGCACAAAAATCAATCCCCATCGGTACAATATTGGCTATTCTGAGCACATCATCGGTTTACTTGTCTGCCGTCCTACTATTTGGAGCCACGGTCGATAATTTACTACTTAGAGACAAGTAAACATTTAAAATCAATAAAAATATTAATGTATAAAGTCAAATTTATCCATTAAAATAACGGACAATGAGAGATTCAAAAGAAAATCATTTTAGCTGAATGTCACATAAAAGAGACTATACACTGTACTATACTATTATGCTATTGTTGTTATCCCATTTTTATTGATATGATGTTTTTGCATAGGTAGTCTGATAAAGGACTTTATTATTTGAATTTTACATTGTAAAAAAAAAAGATAATATTTTCAACCATAGTCATGCATTGTATACTCTACGTATTTTATTAGACTTTTATAGTAAAATATAATGGTGGCAGTGTCTTGTCTACTTTATAGTTTTTTTTTTAGAAATAAGCATTTTGGATTCAATAATGCATCAGACATTATCTTATCATAAATAGATCTAAAATTCAAATCATCGACTTTGAAGTGCATTATACGAGACTAAATCCACTATATCGTCAGTATTAAATATTAATATATCTATATCCGTGTGTTATAAGTATAGGAATTAGGAATATACTTACGACAGTTGTTGACGTATAATATCTTAATATGATAATACATAATACAATTTATGTAAAAATTCAAGTTTTTTTTTAGAAAAATTTCATTTTTTTTTTTTTTTAACGTTCAAGCTCAATTATATCTTAGTCTACTTTTGTTGCAGAAGAATAATTTAAGCACATCAGACCAAATTTAAGCTGAATACATAATTGATATAATTATTATGTTCGATACTTTCTATTACACTTATCATACAAATATACTTTCTTGGTGTCACCATTTTACTCATTATTAAATTTGATACTTGCGGCGTTTATTGTTATTTTTTTTTTTTTTTTTTTTTTTTTAATTTCTTCTGACTTAAATTAATCGAAATAACTTAACTATACTAATTAATAATATAAATAAAAGTATAGCAAGAATTACAGCAAAATTGTTGATAAATTAACCCTTTCAGTCCCCGATGCCATTAGAATAGCACAATGATATAAAAATCGTTATAAAATTGAATTTAAAATATTCCGTTGTGTAATACACGAATTTATACGTAAAAACACGTGTAGAACACATTAAAAATGATAACAATACAATTCGGAGTTTATACAAAATGATAATGACAATTTATTGATAACAAAAATGTTTACTGAAATATTTATTTTATTATTTCACATTTGATTTTATTATAAAATGTCAAAGACGTTCTAAAAATCCCATATTTTTTTTCATGTGTATACACTGATACTGTAAACATATTATAAAGTAATATAGTTATTAATATTAATCGTTATCGTTTTATCGTACCTTAAATGTTATGCCATTAGAATGGCAATTGGGCGTAATGTTGTAATTCTATCAACTAATATTTACGTTTTACATCACTGATAAACAGTTGTTATTCGTCTCATTTTCCGTACGTCGGACGTTAGTCTACGGTCGTTACTGCGTAGTTTGAATTTCATTTTGTTTAACGTAAGTATTTTATAGATTCAAATTTACTACATACATATAAATAATTTTAATATTGTGTTTATGTAATATGAAATAATTTAGGTATTTATTTATAATGTCACGAAAACAACTCCGTGATTTTGATATTTTGGAATTGCTTGGTAACGGCCGAGACTCAGATTTATCATCTCTATCTGGTGATGATTATGAAGAAGAAGAAAATAGTTTTCCTACATCTGAATTAGACCAACTTTTAAATGATTTTACTAATTTCAAAGATGGTGATGATGGTAATGAATTGTTTCCTGATTTGTTTGATGTTGATATTCCTACTGATAATGGTATGTTCAATTATAAATATTTTATATTTTTATCTTTATTTTTAAACTACTCATGTTTAGATGAAATAAGTGAAGTCAATTCTATATTCCAGTCATCTCAAAATACTGATTTTTTTCAGTCCATTTCAAACACCTATTATATCACCTATGGTGAATTTACCATTTGTTGACAAAAAAGATATGAAACCAATGGTTTGTAGTGAATTTGACATCCAACAACCAGTACCTGAATTATCTATTTTAAAAACATTAAATCCATTGGATTATTTTATGAATTATTTTCCTGAAGAAGAATTTGAAAAAATGGCTAAATATACTAATATTTATGCTGAACAAAAAAATAAATTAGTTATGTTATTAAAATATTATGTAACTTACAAGACTTATTCAAAAAATTTCTTTTTATGTATGTGATATGATAAATAAAGTTGTTTTTATATTTGTTACAATATTATTATTTTTTTTTTTTTTTGTTACAATTAGTTATAATATTAAAATATTATGTATGTTTAAAAAGTTTTTCAAAAAATCTCATAGTATGTATGTGATAAATAAAATTTTTATTTTACTTTCTATATTGTCTATTTTATTTTATTAACAATTAAGACTAAAAATTAATTTAAAAAAATGCATAACTAAAAAAAAGAATTGAACAGACTTTATTTATAATGTTTAGCATTTCATTACTTAACGCCCAATTGCCATTCTGATAGCATAACAAATTATTACCGTTAACGCCCAATTGCAATTATAATAGCATAATTCAATAACTCATGACTTGGTGATCAAAAAATTTTGAAATAAAAAATAATTCTTAGTTAGGCATAATATATAAGTAATTAAAAGTCAAATATTTTTTTTTTTTATCAGAACTTAATTTGGGATTGAAAGGGTTAAGCATTTTCTGGGAATTAAAGAAGGCGCCTTTATAATAAACGCAATATCTATTGAGATAATGAACATAGCGAATCGTTATTTATCCTTTATAGAATTTTCTAGTTTCCATTATTTTAATACACTACCTATTAACTTTACACCTTAGTATTTCTTGATGATTAATGCCTAGCAAAAGATTCAATAAAATGGTTTGTAAACATAGGGTAGCGAATAAACTCAATTAAATAATAAATTATATTTTCTTCATCCGTAAAATAAATTGTGCCTACCTATACTACAATAATCTCTATTAACTGTTTACGGGTAATAAATTTTAAATAATAACTCCATTACTACAGAACTCAGTGGTTATTTTAACATAATAGTTGTCTATAATAAATTTATACATTTTATCGTGATATTGTATGGCAATATTATTGTTAAATATTGTTATATTCGATATTATTTAAAATAAAATGCATTATTAGTATAAGATTTTTTTCACTAACAGTTGTCAATCAACCACAACAACTTTTACTTATATGTGTATAATTTTTTAATAGATTTGGTCAGAGTATTGGAGGACGTCTGGTGGTAGCCAATATAGCATGGCCAAATGAATGGGTGATTTTGGTTGGCGCGACATTATCAACTTTAGGAGCCGGGCTTCAGAGTCTTACTGGAGCACCGAGGCTGTTGCAAGTAAGTTATGAAATTTTAAAATATTGACAACGTGTGTATTAAATATTCAATCGTCTCAAGCTTATCCATTATTAATGTACTATACATTAAACACGTTTTGTACATGTATTAATATTATATGTAATAACAATGGTTTTACATCGATATTTGTGTATAGGCTATAGCCAAAGACGACATTATACCGTTTCTACGACCGTTCGCCAAGTCTTCGGCATCTGGCGAACCCACTAGAGCTCTAATATTGACTGTAGCCGTATGTCAGTGCGGCATACTGATTGGAAACATCGACAATCTCGCTCCACTCTTGGCCATGTTCTTATTGATGTGTTATGCGTTTGTCAACTTAGCGTGCGTCTTACAGACGCTGTTGCGCACACCAAACTGGAGACCTAGGTTTAAGTACTATCATTGGTACGTATAGCAAGTATTCATATACTGCGTACAACATAAAATTTATGTTGTAAATAGACCTATAGACAAACCAAATTTTTGAGAAGAGAGAACCAAGTCTTAGAAATGGATTATAAAAATAATTACTTAATCATGGCTAATTTTTATTTCATTCTTTCGCATAAAATACAGAACTCTTAACTTAAATTAAGTATTATACTCATAAAAAATTGCACAAATATAGTGCTGTTATATAAATAAATACTTGTATTAAATTATTTAAAAGTGATTAAAAATGGAGTAATCTCCCCCGTTGATGAAAATTTATAACAAGAAAGTTTTTTCGTATAAGTACTTATATTTTGAAAATTGAATTGCCTAATACATTTGTCCACTGCACATTTTACTATTTATCAAATTATAAATATTTTTAATTAAAAAACTTGCTAGGATATCAAAGGATAAGTTTATAGTAGGACAGCACAATTACCTTCATCGTCCGCCACGAGTAGGTAGTTACGAGCCTGATTGTAAAGCACCACGCACGAACCACAATAATATGTGTATTTTAGTATAATTCGATTTTATGTGAATTATTTTACAGGACATTGTCGTTTACTGGACTCGTGTTGTGCATTGCTGTCATGTTCATGTCAAGTTGGTATTTTGCGCTGTTAGCTTTAGGCATGGCGGGAGTAATTTATAAATACATCGAGTATCGAGGGTGAGTTTAAAATAATAATTATTGTGGTATATGTATTATATTATATCTACGAGCGAGGGAAAAAACAATACACGGTGATAATTAATTTTGTCGATTATAATATTAATTTATCATTAAAAAAAAATACAGGTACCACAATGCTATTTTTTTTTTTTATTAATCGATTTTAAACCATGTTTAATCGAGCGTATTAAATATTAAAATGTTATTTCCCCGCGAACTTTACCCATTTATTCGAAACACAGCCCAAAATATAATATATATTTACATATAATACATAATAAATGATAAATCATTATTATTATTGTTATTATTAAATTATTCATTTTTATGATCACGTTTTATCACAGAGCCGAAAAGGAATGGGGTGACGGTATGCGTGGTTTGGCTTTGTCAGCTGCGAGATACAGTTTGCTACGACTGGAAGACGCGCCCCCGCATACCAAGAACTGGCGCCCGCAAATTCTCATGTTAGTCAACTTCAACGCTGACCTGCCGAAGTACCGTAAGATATTCTCATTGGTGTCCCAACTCAAAGCGGGCAAAGGACTCACAGTAAGCGCGACTGTGATCGAGGGCGATTACATTAAGAAAACTGGTCATGATGTACAATCTACCAAGAAAGAACTAGTTAGGTTGATGGATGAGGAAAAGGTCAAAGGATTTGCAGATGTTTTAGTTTCCAATAATACATCAGAGGGACTCAGTCATTTGTGAGTTTTCGTACTTAATTTCGGAGTGTTATTGTTATTAATGTTGTATATCTTATTCTCTAACCTTATATAGGATACAAATCGCTGGACTTGGAGGACTAAAACCTAACACTGTGATTCTAGGCTGGCCAAACAGCTGGCAACAATCTGAGAACGATCGGTCGTGGCAAGTCTTTTTACACACTATCCGTATCGTAACAGCTGCTAAGATGGCCTTAATTGTACCTAAAGGCATAAGATCGTTCCCAGACTCAGCAACAAAGGTAAAATTAAATATATTTTTTAAAATGATTTTGCACGACCGACAGTCAAAAAATCATTAACTGTATACATGTATGTAATTGTTTAATAGCTGTCGGGCACAATCGATATTTGGTGGATCGTTCACGACGGAGGTATTCTGATGCTCATACCTTTCTTGTTAAAACAACACAGGACCTGGAAAAATTGTAAATTGAGAATATTCACAGTGGCTCAGACCGACGACAATTCCATTCAGATGAAAAAAGATCTTAAGACGTTCTTATATCAACTCAGAATACCAGCAGAAGTTGAAGTGGTTGAAATGGTAATAAATTTTACCATTATTGTGTTTCGAAAAAATTCTCAAAAATATATTCAAACAAAAATACGTATTAAAACAACTTTTGTATTTCAGACAAATAACGATATATCAGCTTATACATATGAAAGAACATTGATGATGGAACAACGAAATCAAATGTTAAGGGAGCTCAGACTTAATAAGAAAGAAAGCTTTGGAATGGTAAGTTAAAATATTACATTATGTTTTATTAAACTTAACAATAAACTAATAAAAAGTCAACTTCGATTATTTCTTCATTTTACTATCTTTAAACACGGCTTGTGGTTTGTTGTTTTCTCTTTTTGGCTTACAAAAGATGCGTAATATCATAGATTTCAATCGAGAAACACCGACTGGAGAGAATACACCATTGGTTTGTTTCAGTTTATTTAAATTTTAGGAACGCTTTATAGTGGTTATGTACTTAGTTAATACTTGAACATAAGTAGATAAATATTAATTGTGTACCTGAGTAGTGTAGAAAATACGTAAATAATAAATGTTAAATATTAACACATACATATTGATTGCAACACTTAAATGCTTTACTGTGTAGAAAATATTATTTTGGTATTATAGAAATTGTATTTATCGATAACATATTATTACGTTTTATACTTATTTATATTGCTTCTGAATAAAATCTTCATCAATATAAATTTAAAAATATTAACTTCGCATTATAATTTTATAACACCATTATTTTTGTAACGTGATTTTAATTATTTTTATAAATAAGCAATTAAATTTCATGCTTAATTTTTGAAATTTTTAATACTAGATGCATTAATTTTGATAACTCAACTAAAACAAAAACTCATGTAGTTCTTTCATTATTTACTTATACATCTATGCTATATTTATTTATTTCATAAAACATATAATTATTATATCAGAATTACAACATAATATCTGTTGTCGATTCGTATTACAATAATTTACCTATATCGTGTATATATTATTATGATTAATGCATGAGTAATATAAGCTTGATATTACTCGTATAATTTTTTTCAATCGCACTTTGTGCTGTGTATTTGACAGTTTTATATAATCTGATTTGTCAGTGTAGCTGTGCATTTTAGACAGACATTCAAACCATGAAACGTTTTATCTTGGCTTACACCATAATTTTTAAAAATTATTATAACCGTTTTGTTTCAATAATATAGGTGCAATCCATAATAGACCAACATCATAGAAAGGACGCATCAGAAGGAAGATCTGCTCCTAAAGTACGTTTCCAGGAAGAAACCAGTGCGGACGACGAAGCGAAAAAATCAAAACCTGTAAGCATAATAAACGTGGAAACTTATGACGTAAGTTGTAGATTTAATGCTAACTGTTTTAACGTATAGGCCGAAAGTGCATTCGATGTTGATGAGAAACGAATTGGTAATGGTGAGAAATCGGGAGTGTTAAAAGACTCGCTACCGAAAGAAACAACAGATTCATCAACATCGACAATGCGTCCGTTAGTATAACAATATTATAACATATTATTGGTAACTAGTTCATATTATACTGTGGCTCAAAATAATTTTCGTTTTTCAGAGACGAAGATAATGTGAGAAGAATGCATACAGCAGTTAAACTGAACGAAGTCATTGTTAGTAGATCAAGAGACGCTCAATTGGTTATATTCAACTTACCAGGACCGCCTAAAGACACCAAATTAGAGAGGGAATCAAACTGTATCCTTTTTTACCTACTTTAACGCCATATTACTATATTGTAATCAGCATTTAGTAAACGTTTTATTTTATTTTCAACACATATTCAAAAATTTAATTCGACGTACTTACATCAATATAAATATATGTATCTATTTAATTAAATTCAAATACTACAATTCTACTTAAAATAGGGAAAACATTTTTTTATATATTTCAGAATTTAAAACGTATGCAAATAATGACTTGATAAGTACAAAGTATCAAAATGTTGAAAGAATAAATTTTACATACCTTAAAAACAGCTATATCTTAGATAATGTATAAAAATTTGATTGAGGTTTTACCGTAAATATTTCCAATATTGTCAAATATTTGTCTAAATGATAAAAACCATTAATTAATCTAAAAATAAACCTGACCTTTCAACATTGGTTTTAAATTCGATAAAAATTACCCTTTAACCTGAATAACTTTATTCAGATCAAACCTAAATCTGATTTTTCAAATATATCACAGTTTTTTTTTCTCTTAGGATCTGTTTGAAATGCTTAAAATATAAATTTGTATAAAAAATCATAATCAAATTGCAATTTTTTAATATAATTTAATAATTAACATAAATGCATCCTTGACTTATCTCTTTAAAGACATGGAATTTTTAGAAGTGATGACCGAAGGCCTTGACAAAGTGCTGATGGTGAGAGGCGGTGGCCGCGAAGTGATCACAATTTATTCATAAGTAACCTGAAGCTCACGTCTCGTCCGTCAGGTACGAATTTTTATACTTGTTTACACTAATTTTATGTTGGCCGGCAACTTTCTCAACACGCCAGGCGTCTATCGAATGGTTTTTTTTTTTTTTTATTTCAAATGTTTTGTTTGTTTTTTAGTGTTATTACGTTAAACAAATTGTTGCACATAATATAAAATTGTTCATTGTATTTGATAAAAATCATTATCACTATTTTCTAAAATTATGGTTATTGTTATAATTTACTCGTATGCCCTCATATAGGCACTTAAGCTTAAAATTATATATATTATTATATGTATTTACATAGGTTTATTAAATGTGACCTTTAAAAAACAATGCGACACCAACAACGTCTGTCGGACTTTTTTATATTCAGTTTATCAAAATCGGCTTTAATACTTAGTTTAATTTAGACGGACGAATAAAAAAAATATATATATAAAATGAAAAAAAAAAGCGCGTAGGAATTTATTCGTCCTATACTTATTTGGTGATTCGTCTTCTCGATAGTATTGACTTAAATAAATAGTGCGTTGGGCGTAGCATTGTTTTACGAGGCTGTATTTTTTCTTTTTTTTCTTTGCTGTATATATTTAAGGAAAATTTATTATTACTTAGTATATTTACGAACATAACATTTCGTCACCTGTTCAACATTTTAAAACCACAAATCGCGTTTACACCGCCATGTTGAATTGCGATCGCATATTTCTACTGTACATCTTAAGGTTTTTGAAACCCAATATGGCCGTTCTACTTAAACTTGTTGACCCAAAATATCATGAAATGTCTAACACTATCATAATTCTATTATCCACATTACTACAAATAACATTATGTTATAATTAAAACATACAAATTCACTGCCAATTTCAACTATAACACCTGTGAATTATAAATGAAAAAAGACTATCGGAATATTTTTATTTCTTCAATGATATTAGATGTTGCCGTTTTTTTCATGCGTAAAATCAATTAATTATCATCCTATTAAATACACCATACGAACGCATTGTAATGGTTACCGTAAACACCGACCAAACAGCCAACATGATTATTTGCCTTGTCGTCTGTGTTTCCGTGTTATTAGCATATTTGAATAGCCGTTGTATAAACTGTAACTTTTATTTGCCGACATTCCTTAACACAAAAATTCTTCTTGTAATCCACAATAATTGACTGCTGTTCCACTGAGACATTATTTTACAACATATTGTTGTTATGGTTGTCGATATACTATTTTAAATTTAAACATATTATATTTACTGATATTAAAATATTTATGCTATAATATTTTATCAGTAATTTTACTCCAATGTTTTTTTCTTTTTTTTATTTATCTCGTAAGTAACACCATTATATTATTATTATTATTTTTTTTGTGATTATTTATTTATTATTATTTTTTAGAATATTTTAACAAAAATTGTATCTATATAATTATTGTTTTTGTTTTGTTATTATTATATAAACAATAGTTTAAAAATAATGTTAATGAACAAAATATTATTAATTGGTTAAAAACATAAGTTGTTAAGTAATCGATTTCCTTATGTTGTTAAATAAATAACCGAGTTATGGCATTGGAAATGTGTTGTATGTTGTTTTTTTTATAAGTAATTAGTTGGTATAAACTAACGATATATTTGTTTGAAACAAAATGTGTTGTGTTCGTTTAATTTATGCAGTGTGACTTTTATGATTTATTAATTGCAATTAATTATTGATCGTTATTTAATTTATTTTGTTCACCGGACGGTAAATGCTCGTACCTTTACATTATTATTATTTTTATGGACAATTACATATCTCAAAAATACTAATATAATTCCAAATGAATTACAATTGAATGAATCAAAATGTATATTCGATCAAAAAAACTTCAAAAACAAAACTTTAACCAAACTATTGTAATCGATAAATCATGAAGGTTTCCTGTGTATGTATTGCTAATTTTATTATAAATAATTATTATTATAGTTATAATTATTATTATTATTATTATTATTATTATACTTTACGTAATATTTATTATGATGAAAGATTTTAGTGAAATCGTATGATATACAACTATATTTAAACTGGCTCGACCGTAACTGGCTTTCGTCGGTTTATGTATATCGATATATAGAAACATCTATTGCTTAGAATTAAATTTGGTTTCCGTGTTTTCAGTTGAAAAGAATAGTGAGTTGAAAAAATAATGATTAGGTAGCGTTGTTCAAATCTAATTCAAACAGCCTTATTAATTTATTATTATATTAATTATTATGAATGCTAACAACAAATTATATTCTGCGTAAAATGTGTAGCATGTACATACACATATAATGGATATTATATTATAATATATATATAAACATTCGCTATGCTCTTAAAAAAAAATATATACAATTTTAATAATCATAAATTTATTAAACAAATTTGCTACGTAGACGTAGTCGTCGAAATAGTTCATTACTGAAAAGTCTAGATTTGATTTTTAAATATTTTTTGTAAGTCAATTATTAATTTATCATGATAACTTTATAATGTTTATTATATATATATATAAGTATGTATATATATATATATATTGAGCGACCATATTATTAACTTATATTTATTATTATTAATATTATGTTTCTCGATCATATTGTTTGAACTCTAATTAAATATTTCTTATCAAACTGAAAATTATCGAGGTGAGATGCTCCTTTTTGTAATTCCATAGTTAGATTAATATGTAAACTAACTACATTCGATATCGACATAATATTTAAAAGAACAAATTTGTTAACGTTTGTACATAATAAGTATCAACCAATATTAAAATTTACATTGGTATTTAGTTCCCATTTTTTCTTTTTTTCTTTTTAGGGCATCTTAACTATATTTAATATTTAAAGATTGTTAAAATTTTATAATAAATACAAAGAGTAATTAGTTACGATTTATATAAAGTATTCGATCTAATTAAGATTCATGACTTGATAAAAAAATATGTATTGGATTATGGATTTTACATTAAAATTCCACAAGTACATTGTAGCTTATTATATTCTAAGACATTATTACATTTCAGTTAAATTAAATATTTGAAATAATTACATGGCTACCAGATATGTGTTTCGCCAATTCGCATCAAATGTATGCTTTTAATTTTAAATTCCTAAATCTGTTATACCTTTTCCTTATTGAAACATAGTACAAATTTTACCCAAAATAAACAAATTTCGTTCACTTATTTTGATATGTGATATAGTTTTTATGCTTAAACCCCACGCAGATTAAATGCTAACAACATAATTCTTGTGGCATTAAATTACACTGCATTCCGAACAAAATCAATAATTTATTAAAAATAAAAATCATTCAACTATAAAAAAAATGATGTTATGTTCTAATTATTTATACATATATTTATTTTTTTTTTCATTATTATTATTCTTATTTATTTTACTCTTATCTAAATAAACGTCCATTTCTCCCTAGTCTGTTATAACTATATTAGTTGAATAAAAAATAAAATACCAAACTATTATATTTGAAACATTTAACTATACATTAATTACAAACCAGCTCAAAAATTAGATTATACTTTAAATATTATTTTAAATATCGTAATATTCTGTCTAAAGAATTTGGCGGAGGCTGAAACAAATCTTTTTTTTTATACTTTATAATAAACGAATAGAATGTTACTCAAATTGTTGTACATGCCTGATTCTATTGGATGTAAATTTAAATATAGGTGTACACTTATATTTTTTAAAACAATGATTATGTGCCAATTTGCTTAGTCATTATAGTACTTATACAGTTTACACAAACAAAATACACACATATTTCCCCAGTTGAAATTCTGTAACCAATGATAGTACTATACAATATACACAATATACTATAATACAATAATAATTGTATATCATACATAATAATAACATAACTAATATATTCAAAGTTACGAATAATAAAATAATATATTATATTATACAAATAAATTATACGTGTCAATGCACTTATGTTAGTAGTTGACGCACTGTTGTAAGTTGTTAAAAATTTAATATTCTGTTCCTATGTATGAATTTTTGAAAATGTAAAAAGAAAAATCAAAAAAAAAAAAAATGTATAATTAGTGATTATGACTATTCGTTTGTTATTTTCAAAACAAAAATTGTTTTTATTTTCCTCTTACTACGTTCCTCTGAAATATGTAATAACAAAAAAATACGATGAATGATTATTTTAATATTGAAATATCTAGCTGCAACATCTAAATATTAATTTTAAGAACATAACATGAAAGTGTGCAATGTGGCGGGTACGTACAAAGTAAAATATGCTTGAAATATTATTATGATTATTATTTTTTTTTATTAATTAATTTAATCAGGAAAATATTAGAACAAATTACATATTATAAATATAAACAGTTTACATTATTTATCTATCACTTTTAAGGGTTGCTTGTGTTGGAGAAAAAGAGTTATAAAATAACAATTTTTAATATGACCTAAGCTTTTACATAAATATAATCAAATAATATACGTCAAGTCTTACTGCTGGGTAGCTACTCCCCTCACGATTTAACTGCCAACTATACTTTTCAGCTCATATGCTTATTGTAACTACTATTACAGATTGTATATATTCAAATAAATGTTAAAAAAAAAATAAATAATAATAATACAGAAACATGATAATTAAATACATAGTGTAGATATTTAAATAATATTTTTGTTTAACATCGTTCACAGTACCTATTTTAGGTAAGTACAACTTAGTAGCAAACTTATAATTCTATTAGTTTTAATACGACTTGTAAGCTGTAACCGAGTAAAAGTTAAAATAATAAATTATATATTATGAAATATATTTAATTCTTAAATTTTTATTGTTCGTTTACTCAGATTCGTCTTTGATTTTGTATACATCGAGTAGGTATATTATAGTATGATTAAAAATATCGTTTATTTATTTATTATTATTAAAAAAAAAGGTGTTAAATTCTCATCCTCTACATGGTGTGAAATGGAAAAATCGTATCTCATAAACAAACTTTTACAATTTTTTTCATAGCAAAAGTTCATTAGAAGTACCTATGTCATATCAGTGTGATTGGTATAAGCGAATATGAACAGTGTATTCACCAATGGGAGAACAATACGTTTGTTTTGAATG